ATATATATCTGGAAATCTAGAATTACCTTTGTTTCTAAGAAACTGTTTTCATTCAGATAAATTGCTAGTAGTACTAGTAGGTAAATAATCTTCCATTCATTTTCGAAGCTATATATATATACATGTAATTGGGCCCTAGTGTAAGTGTGGATCTCAGGTAGTTTCAGTCTTTTCTTAAAATCCTGCATTCATTATAAATGTCTCTGAACGTGCTCTAGAACAAATATACGAGGACGAAAATCCCAATTCCCCGAGGCGAGTCTGCAGTACGTGCTACTACCCTCTTGTATCGATATTCCCGATGTGAAATACTCTAATTCATTTAAGCTAAGTTATTGACGGTGTTGGTGCGGCAATCGTACATAATTGCGTGACATGCTAGAGGCAGTAATGAATACTTACCAAAAAATGTAGTAGCCAGCTGGGCCCCTAAAGTAAAAATATTAGGGGCCTAGCTCAAATTTTAGGGGCCCAGCTTATGGCACGAAGCGCCGAAGTTTGGGGTTTGTCTTCTTGGATATTGACACTAAAATGGTGCGCTATTATGCATTCTGAGCATGAAGATTCAGAGCAAATCTTTTGAGAAAAGAACCGCAAGTCTGTTTTGCAAACGGTACAATTAAAGTCTATGAAAATACATGATGTCACTTCAATAGGGCGACAGAGTCGGTGGTGCCCGATGAAACGTGCACGACGAGTGGCCAATACAAATATTTATTTAGGGGACTCCGTACTATACCTTAATTTAGTGACAAGAAGTAAAAAAGAAGTACTTCAACAATTTCCACATTTGTTTTTATTACGCCATTAATTAGAGTAGTTACTCAATCAATTGTTTGAAAACAGTTTCCATGTCATTGTCAGAGTCCATCCAGTCCCCATTGTCACTTCCTGTTTCATCAGCCGTCATCGTGTCTGTTTGAGCCCCTGTTCTATCATCAGCGCCATTATTCTCAACAATTTCCAATGCGTTTTCCAGCATTGTGTCTTTATTTTTAAAAGTCGGCCTCCTTGACCTATACCTGACACGTACCCTGCTCGTTCCATAAATTTATTGCTGGCACTGAATCAAATTCCGTGATTGGCGGGGACAGCATTTTGATGGCATTTTATTGAAAAAAACAAAAATTCAATATATTTTATTTAGTATTGATCACAATTTTTATTAGATTGCATTGGATTGTATTACAACCTAGATACAATAATGTAAATTGTAACCCAACAAGAGTAGGGGGCTACCCTTGTTGGGTTGCATTATTGTATCTAATTACAACCATGTAATATAATATGGTTACAACCCACGTTCCTTCCCAATGATCAGTGGCAATGTCAGATCAGAGCATATAAATTTATTGCATTGGTGGCATTGATTTATATTCTCTGGTCAGATACAACACCATATAAAAAACACATGCTCTCACTGGCTGAGTTCCCAGCCCTGGACCAATGAGAGCCTGGTTTACGTTTCACCAGGGAATCAACATGAAAAGTGGCCGCCCCCATGAACGTGTATCAACGTGTTCCTACTCGATACTCCTACTCCTAGTCCTAGCAGGATAGAGTGAATTAGTTTTCATTCTAGTGGTCAAAAAATGTATCAAAATTCTAGGAAATGGTGAGCGAATTGTAGTGGCGTAATCATAGCACTGAAATCGTAGTGATTCCACTGATTATTGAATGTTTAACTATAAAAACAAAGCCTCGCATTCCGGACGACTTTTCAATGAAATTCTGGGGCCCAACATTATTTCTACTCGCCTCGGGCGACTGGGCGAGCGTTAATTTTAATCACTGCTCGAGGAAAGGTTGTCAAATTATATCACGCGAAAACAACGCAATTTGGCACAGCTGAAAATGGTGGTAAGCGGAGTAATCATTCGGGACAAGTACAATCGTTCTATACCACGGCCGATCATTGGCGCGAGTGATTTTCCGCTCCCCCACGAACGAATATTGCATGGCATATATATGTCAACGATGCTTGTTGTTTTGCAGGGTTCGCACCTGAGACTGCCGAACGTGGAGCGCAGAGTTCTTGACCTTTATAAGCTGCACAAGGTATATTCCTTAATCATCGATCATCATGACATCATCACCAGCACAGCAGCGTGTGTCTTAATTCCCATCACTGATGCCCCCTGCTGGCACGGGCTGGTCTGCGCTGTGAAATTGCCTCGGAATTAGCACTGAGTAGAGCAGAGCATAACATATTTATGGCTGAATGAGGAAGTAGGTTGTTTACTTGTAATATGTGGTGTGCGTTTGTCGAATGTTTACTGGCCTGAAATCTTCCTGAATGGCTAAATGTTACTGAAATCCGGTTGGGTTGTTGATTGCACTGATGTTGTTCGCCAGTGTACACCGATTAACAGTGGGCAGGTCTGTTGGACGCTAGCCAAAAGGTAAAACCAAGGTCGAGTGACCTTGCTTTAAAAGGTCCGTGTATGAGCGCACCCACATACCCAGTGTCAGTTCTATAACTGGCTACAGCTTGTAGCATGGCAGCACACGGCTGAAGCTGGGTCGATGGAGGGAGAGTGGCGACCCACGCAGCTAGTGCGGGCACACGCCCACGCGAGCACTGTTTCATCCCCACACACGCCCACGCAGGAACTGTCTCGTCCCCTCACACGCCCACGTGCACGTTTCAGATTGTCACCGATGAGGGAGGGTTTGAGACGGTGTCGTACGAGCGTAAGTGGACACGCGTCGCGAGTCGCATGGGCTACGAGCCGGGCAAGGGCGTCGGCTCACTGCTGAAGGGACATTATGAGCGCATTCTCTACCCATACGACATCTTCAAGTCCGGCCTGAGCGAGAGAGAGGGAGAGGAGAGAGAGAGAGTAGTGAGGGAGGAGAGAGAGAGAGGAGAGAAGGAGATGGAGAAGGCGAGGAGCAGAAAGAGAAGAAAGAGAGAGAGAGCAGAGAGATGGAGTCTTGAAAATAGTCTGAAAACCCCAGCAGCTTTTTGCGGAGCATTTTGGTAATCAATTTTTACGAGATATGTAGTAAAGGAAAGAGTTAGTTAAAACATTAAACCATATCTTGTCATATGCTTCCGTATAATGGTGTAGTGAAATTTCACAAAGTCTCTTCCTGAGAACGCTATAGCTCGGCCGTACTGTTAATCGGTCCGTAATCTGCTAAGTAATTACTGCGTAACGATCTCGCACCCCGACCTCGTGGCGTTAGCAGCATACGCTGAACATGCGAGAAGCTGGCAATCAGCGGCGGTAGTTAGGGAAGGAAGGAACGCGGAGTGTGAAGGACAAGACTACAAGCTCACAGGATTCCCTCGCGCAGGGCCCTCACAACGGAAGGAAGACGTGCTTGTCGCGAAGGTCGAACGGCTCATTTGCAAGGACATCCCGCTGCGTAAACAGGGGTGCGCTACGGTGCGTAGTTTGTGTGCTGGCGTGCTGTGGTGCATGCGTACGATGTGCGTGTTGTGTATGTGCTGCATGTGTGCGTGCGTGCATGCGTGGCGATGCGGTGTGCACGTGCTCCGCGGGTGTGGTGTGCATGTGCCGTGCACGTATGTATGGCATGAGCGTGTGTGTTTGTCGCATACATGCGTGCGCGTACATGCATGGGCGATGTGTGTTTGTGCATCTACAATGCGGCGCCTACATGCTAACTGGGCTGGTGTGTGTTTGTGCATAGCATCGCGTGCGCGTACATGGACTGAGCGTGTGTGTTTGGACAAGCGTGAGTACATGCATGGCGTGTGTTTGTGCATACATAGCGTGCGGTACATGCATGGGCGTGTGTGTTGTGTGCATACATGGTGCGCGGTACATGCATGGGCGTGTGTTTGTGCATAGAGTCGTGCGTACCCGTGAACATGCAGGTGGTGTGTTTCTGCAACCATGACGTGCGCGTTACATTGGATGGCGTGTGTGTTTGTGCTACATGGCGTGCGCGTACATCATGGGCGTGTTGTGTTTGTGGCGTACATGCGTGCCGCTACATGCATGCGCGGTGTTGTGTTTGGTGCATACATGCGTGCGCGTACATGCATCGGTCGTATTGTGTGTTGTGCATACTGCGTGGCGCGTACATGCATGGGCGTGTGTGTGTTGTGCATACATTGCCGTGCGCGTACCACTGCTTGGGCGTGTGTGCTTGTGTGCCATAATGCGTGCGGTACATGCAATGGTGTGTGTTTGTGCATACATGCGTATGCGCGTACATGCATGGGCGTGTGTGGTTTGTGCATACATGCGTGCACGTACATGCAATGGGCGTGTGTGTTTGTGCATACATGCATGCACGACATGCATGAGCGTGGTGTGTTTGTGCATACATGGCGTGCACGTACATGCATGAGGTGTGTGTTTGTGCCATACATGCATGGTGCGCGTACATGCATGGGCGTCGTGTGTTTGTGCATACATGCGTGCGCGCGGTACATGCATGGGTGTGTGTTTGTGCATACATGCGTGCGCGTAATCGGCATGAGCGGTGTGTGTTTGTGCATACATGCGTGCGCGTACATGCATGGCGGTCGGGCGTGTGTGTTCGTGCATACATGGCGTGCGCGTACATGCATGGGCATGTGTGTTTGTGCATACATGCGTGCGCGTACATGCAATGGAGCGTGTGTGTGGATTGTGCATACATGCGTGCGCGTACATGCATGGGCGTGTGTGTTTGTGCATACATGCGTGCACGTACATGCATGAGCGTGTGTGTTTGTGCATACATGCGTGCGCGTACATGCATGGGTGTGTGTTTGTGCATACATGCGTGCGCGTACATGGCATGGGCGTGTGTGTTCGTGCATACATGCGTGCGCGTACATGCATGGGCGTGTGGTGTTGTGCATACATGCGTCGCGTACATGCATGGGCGTGTGTGTTTGTGCATACATGCGTGCATGTACATGCATGAGCGTGTGTGTTTGTGCATACATGCGTGCGCGTACATGCATGCTGTGGTTAAAAAACACGCTGAGCTGTCACATAAATATGAGAGGTATCGCCACATTTGTAAACCAAACCACAAAGAACTACTTAGTGTGCTGCACATGATTTCTATTTTACAGCTCTATAATTTTGCCAAATGCTATTGATCAATATGTCTAATTTTACACGTGAGAATACTGCATGGCATCCCACACACTGTGTGACACTTGTTTTGCGTTAAATGTGACGTTTTCTTGAAACTACTGCTTTATAAATCTGTCTGGTATGCGTCGCACGTGCTCGTTTCACTGAATTTTGCTGGGTAGCTGACCCCGCGGTCGATGTTCTTTGTTTTTGCACCTCTCTTCGACATGCGCGCTCGAGCCGGCAGCGGGGGTGGCACGCCGAGAGGCGGACGCTGACACGCGTTTCTGACGTGATGTGTTGAGCTTGCAGGACGGCGGTAGATGTTGCTTTACACGCGCTTAGCCCTGAGCTGAGGAGGTTACGCGTTCCCTGGAGGCCGGCTCCCAAGACTCCAGGGATTCTCATCGGTTGGCAGGTGCGTGCCAGCGTGTCACAGCTGACGGTTGAGCGTGGAGGGCTGAGCAGTGGGAGGAGGAGGGACTGAGGTGGGAGTGAAGAGGGCTGGAGATGTGAGTGGGAGGGCTGAGGTGGAAGGTTGAGGGGCTGACTGGGAGGGGAAGAGCCGGACGGTGCGGAGGGGAGGGGGCTGCGGTGGGGAGGAAAGAGGTGCTGAGGATAGTTGAGGGGGAGGGGCTGAGGTGGGCTAGGTCGAGGGGATGAGATGGGAGGGGGAGAGCGCCGAGGTATGGGAGGCGGGAGGGGGCTGAGGTGGGAGGAAAGAGGCGCTGAAGATGTGAGGGGAGAGGGCTGAGGTTGAGGGAGGTGACGGGCCTGAGAATTGGGAGGGGAGAGCCTGATGGTGGGAGGGGGAGGGGCTTGAGGTGCTGAGAAGAGGGGCTGAGATGTGACGGGGAGGGCTGAAGATGGGAGGGGGAGAGCGAGGTGGGAGGGGGCAGGGGGCTGAGGTGGGAGGAAGAGGGTGAGATGTGAGGGCGGAGGGGCTGAGGTGGGAGTGAGGGGCTGAGATGGGAGGGGAGAGCCGAGGCGTGGCGAGGGGGAGGGGGCTTGAGGTGGGAATAATGGCTGAGATGATGAGGGGAGGGCGCGCTGAGGTGGGGCAGGGGAGGGGCTGAGATGTGTGAAGGGAGCGGGGGGGAGGGGCTGAGATGCGGAGGGGGAGGGGAGGAGGGCTGAGGTGGGCAGGTGAGGGGGCTGAGGTGGGCGAAATGAGGGCTGAGATGGGGGTTGAGGCCGGCTAGATGTGAGGGGGGGGCTGAGATGTGACGGGAGCGGAGGGGGGCGTGACAGGCGGGCTCGAGTCGGAGGGGCTGGCAGGTGGCGAGAAAGGAGGCGCAGAGGGTCGCAGTGGAGGGCGCTGAGATTGGGAGTGTACGGGCTGAAAAATGTGGGAGGGAGGGCTGACGAGTGTGAGGGGGGAAGGGCTTAGAATATCCGGGCAGGAGCGAGGGCTCCCTAGATGGTTCATCCGGTGCTGAACAGCGGCAGAGCTTATTCGTGTGGTGAAGGCGACCAAAAATAGAATGACCTTTTCAGTTATCTAGACTCTGATTGTCATGATTGACAGAAATGATAATGACTTAGACTCTAGATCTGACGGATTAAATCGACATCTGTTGTATTTTACGAGTGCATTTTAACGACGGAAAAGGGGTATAGGAGTACACACTTGATGACCTTGCTAAGTTTGTAACGTAATGCAGTTTTTGTACTATGATATAGGAGTACACACTTGATGACCTTGCTAAGTTTGTAACGTAATGCAGTTTTTGTACTATGATATAGGAGTACACACTTGATGACCTTGCTAAGTTTGTAACGTAATGCAGTTTTTGTACTATGATATAGGAGTACGCACTTGATGACCTTTGACTGCTTTCAGAGGTCAAGCAGGAGCCGAGTGAGATTGAGGAGAAACCAGAAGTAGCTGTGAAAACACCAAAGAAGAAGGGGAAGCAGCGCAGCAAGCAGTATCCTCCCAGCATCGTGAGTAGCATGCACTCCAGCCATCGCGGGAATGCATGGCTGCGTGCATGTTTATACTAAGTAACATCAGTCTCAAATCCGCTCGTGTAAAAACTACGGGTAGCAATGAGTGTGTAACTCAATATTGCTACTCGTAAAATGTGGTAGTGCTCGCAAATAATAGGCTAAGTTGATTTGTTACCGATGCTACAATATGTTGCCAGTGAGATGTATGATGTTATGTCCATGCTATGCCCATGGTATAACGAGTCCATAACCATTCTATGTAACCATGTGATGTATGCCTCATGCGATAAACATGCCATACCCAACGAAATATCCATGCTATAATTTTTATGATACAACCACGGTATTGCTAATGCCGTAAACATGCGATGCTCCGTGGTATTTCTATGCCGTAGTTACGCTACAATGATGATATTGTATTGCTGTGACCGTGATGCCGCACGTGTTACAGGCTGACAAGTACTTCTGTCTGACATGCGGGCGAGGGGATGCTGAGGACCAGATGCTGCTGTGTGATGGCTGTGACGACTCCTACCACACCTTCTGCCTCATCCCCCCGCTCAGCGACATACCCAAGGGAGACTGGCGTTGTCCGAAGTGCGTCAAACAGGTGAGATCCTGCCCCCTGGTGTGAGCATTACAAACAATTTATCGTGAGAGGAGCAGGGCAGGAATTTCAGGGTTAAAATCTTATTGTCTGGCATGATGATCCGCTAATCCATGGGCATTTTGCTCTTCTAAATCGTTGCCGGGTTTGTTTACTTTTTGAGTGAGGACCAGGCAGACTCGAATAAAATTTTGATTCAACAATATAATGTATAAAATATTGCATTTTTCAGGCGTGTGAGAAGCCGCGCGAGGCATTTGGCTTCGAGCAAGCGAAGCGAGAGTACACTCTACAGAGCTTCGGAGAAATGGCAGACGCTTTCAAGTCCGACTACTTCCACACGCCGGTTCACGTACGTCGAAACTCTTCGTTGTTGTTGTTGTTGTTTTCGTTATCATAGTTTTATTTACAGGTATATTAGTCACACGTTTGTACCACTTACTCCGATGCACTTTGCTATGGTTGCGCACACGTCTTCAGGGAAAACTTGCACGCATCATGTTTTAATTGGCCCCCCCTACCTACTCGGCATGCAGGTGGAATCAGCACCAGTAACTCATGGTTCGCACAGTCCTTGAAAAGTCCTTGAATTTGAGGGTAGTCCTTGAAAAGTACTTGAATTTAGTAAATGTTGATTTTGTGCTTGAAAAGTGCTTGAATTTCATGAAAATGTCCTTGAATTTCATGAAAATGTCCTTGAATTTCATGAAAATGTCCTTGAAAAGTCCTTGGGAAAAATTTCAGTCCTCCTGTATGAACCATGTAACTGCAACCCCAGCAACCGGGGCAGGGTCACGTGTGTGCCGCTAATGTACCCTTACATCGTGTAACGTAATACACGTGATAGATTCCTGCCGTTAATTTCACGTTCTGCCTGTAGATGGTGCCACCCGACACGGTTGAGACGGAGTTCTGGCGTCTGACGCGGGCGGTGGATGAGGATGTGGTTGTGGAATACGGAGCAGACCTTAGCACACTGGAGAAAGGCAGTGGATTCCCCACACGGGTACCTATCATATACTGCAGTGTAGCAAGCAGCAGCACCCCTCCCCCCCCCCAGCCCGGAACCTGTCTGAATTTATGGTGAAGTAATGATAGAAGTATAGAGATTCTGGGGTATTTGTTAAACTGCTATTCGTAAATATGCAAATGGCCATTTAGAAATACCCTAAGTCATAGTAGTCAACACGGGTAAAAGTGCAAAAAAGAAATCTTGTCGAATGAGAAAAGGCTTGGCATCTAAATCGACATGGTAACACCAGTGTAACACGTGCCTCTCTCTCGTCGTTCGGTGGTCGGGTAGGAGACTGCCGATCAGTTCCAAGGTGAGGAGCAGTACATTGAGTCTCCGTGGAACCTCAACAACCTTGCAGTGATGGACAACTCGATCCTACGCTACATCACGGCTGACATCTCTGGCATGAAGGTGCCGTGGGTTTACGTCGGCATGTGCTTCTCGACCTTCTGCTGGCACACAGAGGACCACTGGAGTTACTCCATCAACTACATGCACTGGTAGGTTCACTACGCGTGACGTGATGTAGCGATGATGGTGATTGTGATGATGATGATGATGATGATGATGATGGTGATGATGATGATGATGATGGTGATTGTGATGATGATGATGATGATGATGATGATGATGATGATGATGATGATGATGTGTGTGTGTGCGTGCGTTTCTGTTAGACAGTCTGTTCCCAAATCTATATCTAAATATTGTAATTGAGAATAAGTATAAAAGGGAAGCAAATGCATGTGGGAACTTTCGCTAACTAAAATCGCATGGATGAGAATGATTGACGACATGAATTGGATCTAGAATTTCACACAAGTGAATGCTCCTAGTCCTCCTCCGTGCATTGCTAGTTCCGCGTAAGTCTTCCGTCCCTGGCCCTCTATCACACCTACTCCACACACGTGAAGTCCAGTGTGTGTGCGTGGCAGCGGCACTTCTAACGGGACGTGGCTGCCTCTGTAGCAGGGAAAAAATTACTTTTTTTTTCACGGGAGCTCTTTTTCAAGTCTGTGGAAAAAATAGCTCTTGTCATTAATTTTATGGGAGCTATTTTGAGCCTCACGGGAGCGATTTCGGAGGTTTGAAGAGCGAATTGCTTATCGCGCCCGTGTATTTTTTACCCGGCTCTGTAGGGGCGAGCCTAAGACGTGGTACGGAGTGCCGGGATCGTCAGCTGAGCTGCTAGAGCAGGCGATGCGCGACCAGGCGCCGGAGTTATTCGAGGCTCAACCCGACCTCATGCACCAGCTTGTCACCATCATGCACCCAAACCTGCTCATGGAGAAGGGCGTGCCGGTGAGCGAGGATGCTCACTTGTTTCATGAGCTGAGGCGCGGTAGTTTTGTTGTGAGATGCGCGCTTGTTTGGTAGTTGTATGCACGTGAAATTGTGTTATTGTTGTTAGTTGTAATACTCGCAGTACACATGAGATTCTAATAACGAATTAATAGTCTACATATGGCTGCTCTCTAGAGAAGAGCACCTGTAGTATAGTGTTACGGTTTGTAATGGCCGACTTGATCTTATTAATGCCATTTTACACAGTTATTAACGTGTGCGTGTGTTTGTGTGCGTGTGATGCAGGTGCACAAGACGAATCAGCAGGCAGGGGAGTTTGTGGTCACCTTCCCTCGTGCATATCACGCCGGCTTCAACCAGGGCTACAACTGTGCTGAGGCTGTTAACTTCTGCCCTCCCGACTGGGTAAGGATCCATGTAGATGTTTAAATGTCTGACACATGTAAACACAGGGGTGTGTAATCCAGTGTAATCCTCAGCGTGGATCTCTGTTCCATCCATCATCGCTGGAGATTCTATCCAGTAGATTGCCGTATGTACATTGTACGTGATCGTGCGTCATTATCTGTCATTGTCCCTCTGTCATTGTCTCTCCGTCAGTGTCCATACGTCATTGTCCCTCCATCATTGTCTCTCCATCATTGTCCATACATCATTGTCCCTCCATCATTGTCCATGCATCATTGTCCCTCCATCATTGTCTCTCCATCATTGTCCATACATCATTGTCCCTCCATCATTGTCTCTTCGTCGTTGCAGTTTGACTTTGGACGTCGCAGCATCTCTCACTACCGCATGCACCGACGCTACTGCGTCTTCTCGCACGACGAGGTGCTGTGTAACCTTGGCAACAATCCGGGAGACATCAACGTGGAGCTGGCGGAGGTCGCGTACGACGGGCTGCGGATGCTGATCGCGGAGGAGACGGCGCTGAGGAGGAAGCTCGAGGAGAAGGTGAGGAGGAAGGTAGTGAAGCAGCCGCAAGTTATCTATTCATTGATGCGTCTGGGGGCAACGTATTAGCCAGCGAGCCGTGCGACCGTTTTCAGTTTTGAAACTGTACGGCCAAAAAAATTTAACAATTTAAAAATTTTCCGGAGGAGGCCCCCGGTGCGCTACTGCGTTCACGATGACCGCTACGGCAGTCTTGGCTGAGACACACACAAAAATTGCACTCACAAATATTTTTTCTGCACTCCCACAATACTCATTCCTGGCTAATACCCTGTCTGGGGGCATCTATCGTGAGGCAGCCTTAGCTGAGCGAAGGGAAGAAGCATTGAGCTTCTATTCAGCGATTCATCTGGCGTGGTTCATGGCGAGGCATGTCACGCGTGTGGTTCCCACGAGTCGCTGTTGTAGCGCAGCGGTGAACATCTCGTTCCATTCTCATCGTTTCTCGCTTCGTTCTCCCGGCCGACGCAGGGCAAGGTCAACGCGAAGAAGAAGCTGTTTGAGTTGCTGCCGGACGATGAGAGAATCTGCTTCCACTGCAACACGACCTGCTACCTATCGGCGCTGACATGTGAATGCAGACCGGGTGAGAGCGAGTGGGGGCAGGTTGGTGGGGCAGAGCAGGGGGAGGGTACAGGGGCGGGGTGAGGCAGAGCAGGGGAAGGGGGCGGGGTGAAGCAGAGCAGGGGAAGGGTGCGGGTACAGGGGCAGGGTGAGGCAGAGCAGGGGGAGGGTGCGGGTACAGGGGCGGGGTGAAGCAGAGCAGGGGAAGGGTGCAGGTAGAGTCGAATTAAACCTGCAGAGAAACAGAACGATGCCCGCGTCGATGTAAAATACATTAACGAGAACATATATTTTTAAATACTCGTTAATATGCTCGTTAGAGACTTAAGTGACACGGAGTTGGTGAAAGTCTTCGTGTTTAGGTGTTGTTTTCTTTCTGCAGATGTCCTGGCCTGTCTCTACCACGCAGACAAGCTGTGTGACTGCCCGCTATCGAAAAAATGGCTTAAGTACGAGTTATAACTTATATAGATATAATCTTATAAATATTATATATAACCTTATAAATATTATATATAATCTTATATAGATATAACCTTACTGCTCTTCACTTTACGTGTGAAAACATTGAGTTGCACTTTGTGACTGCGTCACTTTGTCCTGGAGATTCAACGTGAATTTGTATACGTGTCAGTTTCGTGTAATACTTGATTATACTAATGTAACTGTGCGGGTGCTTGTGTGTTGCTACAGCTACAGACTGGAGCTGGATGAGCTACTACCGTATGTAGAGACACTGAAGCGCAGGAAGGAGCTGCTGCTGCGATGGAGCGAGGCAGCGGCGAGCGTGCTGGCTTCACAGGGCGACGACCGACCCAGTAAGATCCCATCATTGCCGTTGTAGCCATCACCATATTGTTAGTGTTGTCGGCAGCACTGTAGGCTTCCTGTTGGCATGGCAACTGACTTCATTGCTGGTGATGCTGCTATTGTTGCTACTACTGCTACTGCTGCTGCTGTTCCCATTGTTGCTACTACTGCTACTGCTGCTGCTGTTCCCATTGTTGCTGCTGCTGCTGCTGTTGCCATTGCTGCTGCTGCTGCTTCTACTGCTTTTGCTGCTGCTGCTGTTGCCATTGCCGCTGCTGCTGATTCTACTGCTCATGCTGCTGCTGCTGTTGCCATTGCCGCTGCTGCTGCTGATTCTACTGCTCTTGCTGCTGCTGCTGTTGCCATTGCCGCTGCTGCTGCTGTTGCCATTGCCGCTGCTGCTGATTCTACTGCTCATGCTGCTGCTGCTGTTGCCATTGCCGCTGCTGCTGCTGTTGCCATTGCCGCTGCTGCTGATTCTACTGCTCATGCTGCTGCTGCTGTTGCAATTGCCGCTGCTGCTGATTCTACTGCTCTTGCTGCTGCTGCTGCTGCTGCTGATGTCATTATACGATCGTGATCATTACTTCCGCTCCCGCTGTCCTTCCCCCCCCCCTGCAGACTCTCCTACCTGACGTGTGTGTGACTGTGTGTGTGTGTGTTGTTGCAGGCGTGGGGGAGCTTCGGGATCTGCTGCAGGAGTGGGAGCGGGAGCACTACAGCAGGAAGGCGGGCGCGCGACCCCGGGAGCTACGCGCCGCGCTGGACGCCGCCGCCACCGACGCTGACCGATGCTCCATCCTCGCGCAGCAGCTAGTCTCACGCCGCGTGCGCACGCGGTCAGTGTACCTCACAGTGTGTCCCACTGATCTCACGCTGACTAACACTTGCTGACTCATCTTCATGAAGAAATTCCTGTAGATAGTTATTACTCATTATTCATTCATTTTTCATGATCTATCTATTATCTGTCTATCTCTGAATCTATCTATCTATCTATATCTATATATCTATCTATATCTATATATATATCTATTTATATATATATATATATATATATATATACATTTATAATATGTACCTTCTCGTTTTAAATATAGGCAACTTGAATATTGTTCGCTCTCCCACAGTATTAGAAGTGAAGGGAGCTCTCCAAACTTCTCATGAATTCTTTCTCTCTCTCTCTTTCTCATATCTCATGAGATGTACGTGTTAATCCGTGCTTTTCTTTCATTTTTCTGCCCACCAGAATCATCAATCCTATGTCTAAAAGGTGACGTTTTCCGAACACTATATTCACGATCATGCTTGTTAACTGTCGTTCCTTAGTCGTCGGTAGCTTTTTGTTCGTCTGATCTCAATAGTGCACATATTAGCAGATGTAGGGTTACACAGATTACATCTGTTGTTTTTGTGTGGTCGTTTGAATGTGCATTATAATGCACCTCAGAAAGTGAAGAAAAATTTATTAGAGTAACGAATCGGAAACTCTATGAATATGAAGTCTGTTACTAGCAGAAATCCTTAATTCAGACACAGACCATGGGTTCAGTCACTGGTATTTGTTTTATTACTTCTTTGATTTTGGAAGATTGTTAATGGCATTTCACTAAAACACCAGGGGCCGGTTTCACGAAGCGTGATTAACATTAATTATAGTTAAATCAATAATCATGATTAACTTCCCGTAATTATGATTAGTTAATCATACTTAAAAATCTGTTTCACGAAGTGATTTAATTATATATTTAACTAATCACATAATTAGCCGACTTAAACATGAATTACACTGTATTCAAAATGGCGGACAATGCAAAAGTACCTGCAAAACGGAACCTAGCTGAAACGGAATTTATTTGCAATTATAATTACTAAATTAGTACAGCTAATCTTAGATAATTTAAATTTTCTTGGGGAAAAAATTTGCAGCCTACTTACTGTACTAGTAGTACCTACATACTACTACTAGTATACTAGCAACTAATAAGCGAGTTCGGCATTACAACTGCGGTCATTGGTCATTTGGGATAAACAATAGGTTTTTGCCAGCTGAGCTACTGTGGCTCATAGGGTCTATGTCCCCCAGGGTACTGCCGGAACGTACCCTCGGTGGTAACTATTTGATATATAGTTAGGGTTAGGGAGTATAGGCGTAGGCGACTCCCTAGACTCGTTAGTGGAGTAGGCGAGGTACGGTCTGGCATATTAGATAGTACCAGCTAGGGTACGTTCCGGCAGTACCCTGGGGGACATATAGACCCTCTCAGCACTAGTACTAGCTGTTATTACCACTCCAGTTGAGTCAATAATCGTACTATTTTTAATTGATCAGCATGACGACGTTTTTCTTCACTGGCAGTCGGTAGCATAAGCAAGAGCAGCGAGTTCGTCTTTTCGTCTCGTCTGTTTCAACTCCCTGTCCGCTAAAAAATGCTTCAAAGCATTGGCTTTGTAGAGAATCATCCAGTGTCATATCATCGTCATTTGCGTCAGCCATAACCGATATAAGATACTAAGAAGACGAAAACTCACCGAAAACGTTACTTTTACACACAGTTTATACAGCGCTGCGTCAGCGGTACTTGTTCATCTCGAATGACCTTTGACATTTCCCATGATTCTTTGCGCGGCGCAAAATACCGAACTGGCTTATTATGATTAGTGGATTTAATCATGCTCCCGAGGAGAATTAAATATTGTGATTAACTTAATCATGATTAAAGTTAATTACGCTTCGTGAAACAGTCACTTCAATTTAAGTACGGGAGGTTAATCATGATTAGTGATTTAATCATGATTAAGGACTTAATTGCGCTTCGTGAAACTGGCCCCAGGTCTAAACAGGTCTATGATAGTAATAGCAAAACTAAGTAAAACTTGCACCATGTGTACCCAGACATATATTACATGGTTGCCATCGACAGTGTCAACTAATTGTGCAACTAAAACTCGACGAGTGTGTTTATTACTAGCTTTGCATGTGTCAAACAGACATCGTCGGATGCTCGGCTTTGTCATTATCTATCTATCTATATACATTTATGTGTTTGCACACGTAATACTATTAGTTCAAGTCAGTCGGAATCAAAACGATGCAAGGTGTATCGTGTTCCCCTTGACAGATAGGATCTAGTTGAATCTTGATTGACGTCTGACATGTGTTTTGCACGTCACGTTACCTAGGTAACGCAGCTGGTGCGCTGGGTTAGAACACAGCACAGGAGACGCGCGCTTACATCGAGAGAGCTTCTAGTAATGATCGCTTTGTACGTTCTCTTGTTTTCAGGCATCGGCATTCGGGCGAGCAGAAGTACACTAGCTCGGGTCGCCTGACGCTGGCAGAGGCACAACAGTTCTACGAGCAAATATGTCGACTCAGCTGCGAAATAGCAGAGCATGCGCAGATCAAGGTACCTACCTAGTTTGCACACGCTTCTCACGGAAACACTAACGAGCAATCAGGGATTAAACTAATTATCCGACGGCGGCTAAATACGCTGATCACGCGCATGTTAGCGTTGACGACGATGGCGACGTGGTGACAATGGATCCACGTGATGATCGTGAGTGCAAGTGTTTGGCGGCTTTGGTAGTATGCACGTCATTGGAGTAATTAACTCCTCGCAGCTTAACGATCGCAGCGTCGTTAACTTGTCGTCGTCGTTGGCAGGATCTGCTGCAGCGTGCGCAGAACTTCCAGACGAAGGCTCGCGGGACTCTGCAGGACGAGGTTCCTAACTCGGAGCGGCTGCATCACATGCTGGACGAGGGATTGTCGCTCGACATAGAGCTTCCGGAGATATCTGCTCTCAAACAGGTGAATAAATACATTTCTTGTGCCCTACTGGGCTACTGGCCTTATGGGCTAGTGAAGAGATTCTCTCAGTTTCCACTGGCCGGTGCCGCCGCATACAAGGCTGTCCTTTTGGCACCGTTTCCACCCTTTTTGCTGAGTACTAAGTAGAGAAGCAGTGAAGCAGGTTCAAACAGGTGTGTACAGGCGACGGTTGACGGTTAAACCATGCAGGCGCCACTGTCTGCTGCACTCACGTTTACGATATTATTGCTATAATTAGTATATTATTATTATTATTATATCACTAAGGTGATATTATTGTCCTCGTACCTCTATGCATGTATAGCGTTGCGTCCCTGCAACCAGGTTACTTTTCTCTTTGCTTTCTGTAACGCTGCTCGGTGACTCGTCGTTGACCGGTTGTCTCGTGTCGCGCGTGCGTTGCAGCAACTGCAGCAGGCCTGCTGGCTGGAGGAGGTGGGAGAGGCAATGCCGGCAGGGGCGGCGGCGGGGAGCGACCAGCGGGACGACCGACCCTCGCTCAACTCCCTGCGTCGTCTGATCGACGCCGGCGTGAACCAGGCTCCGCACCCCGCGGTCGAGCGAGCGATGGCGCGGCTGCAGCAGCTGCTGACGGTCGGCGAGGCGTGGGAGGAGCGCGCGTCCGCCGCCCTGCGCGCCCGCCCACCGCGCACCGTCGCCGCCCTGGAGGCCATCGTCGCCGGCGCGGAGCAGGCGGCGCCACCTCTCGCGTTGCCGGCGGTGCACGCGGTGAGGGAGGCGCTCAGGAAGGCGCGTGATTGGACGAGGAAGGCGGAGGCGGCGCGCGTAGCGGTGCACCCGCCATACATCGAGGCGTTGGAGGTTCTCGCCACCAGGGGGCGCCCGCTGCCCGTTGCACTCGACGCGCTCGCGGAGATAGATGGCGCTGCGGTGGAGGCGAGGGCGTGGCGGGAGCAGGCTGCCCTCGCGTTCCTCAAACGCAATTGTGACCGACTGCTGGAGGTAGGCGCTTGCTTGTTCACAGACTCATGTTACTGGTTCATTGCAGTGTATTGTGAATCTGAACTCCCAGATATATGTTTGGTGACAACAAAAGTCAGGTGACAAAGTAATAGTGGTATGGTGAGATGCTTATTGTCGTTGCATTGCAGGTGCTGCTACCTAGGAGGGAGTTTGGCCGCGACGGCGCCCCCGCTGGTAGGCGTCCGGGGAAGAAGCGAGGGCGAGACTCTGAGACGGCTGCCGACATTGTGTTTGATTGTTCACGCAGCACGGCTGATGTGGTGAGGGCAACGCGCGTGCTGGTTATTCACTTCAGTCGACACGAGCTGTTGATATATACATGTATATATATATATATATATACAACATTTTTTATCTCCATGTGGGAGGACGTTAGGGTTAGGGTGAGCCTAACGACAGCTATCTCCTCTCCCCCTCCCCCTTTAAAACAATCCCCCCGTTACGGAGGTGCTAGACCGTGTCTTGTAACGCCATGCTTCTTCTCTCTGCCGTCATCGTCATCGTTCTGGCGGCGTAGGTGGAGGCTTACACGCGTGGGGAGGCACGGGAAATCGCAGCCATGACGGAGCTACGCGCGCGAAACCGCCACAAGTACAACGAAGACGGCAGAAGCAGCGGCGGCAGCGGCGGCGGCGGCGGCGGCGGCAGCGGACGCGCGCTCTACTGCATCTGTCGTAAGCCTCACTCCGAGGCCATGCTTCGCTGTGAGCTCTGTCAGGACTGGTTCCACAGTAAGTGCGTCTGTGCGCGAGGTCTGGGTTGCAGAGGGTGAGGGGGTCACCTGATGGGTGAACCGACTAAGGTTAAAGGGATACGTTTCTCTAGGTTCTTCAGATATTTTCAGCTAAGATAGGTTAGAATTACGCGTCATAAAAAGTTTTATGGTTCAATATTTATTAGAAATATTTTTTTTTAATGTTTTACAACTGACGGCTGTACCGTTGCTTACAACGACGGTGGCGCCACTGGCAGCGCACCCACTGGAAAAGTTGCGCAAAGCAATGTTCTGGCTGCAGGCTACAGACCGAGGGTGTTTCTTATTTATTAATTTAAGAGCAGAAGAATATCTTATAAACATATAGTTTCAGTTATAATATGGATAAATTTGTCCTAAAATAAGTATTGTTCGGTTAAATAGCATTTAGGTATAAATATAATTGCACTTTTGTGATTAGCCCTCGGTCTGTAACGTGCAAAATAAACTGGCAAATGGGCAACTTTTCCAGGGTGACAGCACGGTCGCGGGTGTCATGTCAGCACCCAAAAATGAAGATTTTGAAATTCAATGTTGTTTTATGCCAAACGTGAATGCGTAAACTAACTATAGTTATTTATAGGAATGTGCTATTATTTGTAAATCTACTATTATAATATACTCTCAAATACTAGAGTGAAGTATCCCTTTAAATTAATAATAGACGTGAGAGTTAAAAGGTAAATCGCAAAAGTAAAGCTATCGGTGTTAGAATACGTTCACGTATGCATCACAGTATTAAACCGTGAGAATTATGGCGGCTCTTCGATCACGATCCCATTTCGACGCCGCTGAAGAAGTAAATGACATTGAATTAAAAATACAGGTGAAAGTTAAAAGCTAAACGACAGATATCTACGAAAGACTTTGATCTCGTATCTAACTAACACCCACCTCCTTCCCCCGTAGGTACGTGCGTGCCGCCGCCGCAGCAGCGATCAATCGGCAAGCCTCGCACGGCGACCGTGCAGCGCGGCACGCGGGAGCGCGGCGGCGGTGGCAGCGGCTACCTGTGTTCGCGCTGCATGCGCACGCGGCGTCCACGCCTCAACGCTGTACTCGCGCTCATCGTCACGCTGCAGCGTCTGCCCGTCCGTGTCGCCGAGGGAGAGGCTCTACAGTGTCTCACCGAGCGCGCCATCCGGTGGCAGGTTTGTGAAACGCACTCCTCGCACGATGGCACAGCCGTCGCTGCAGAATAACATCATGAGAGCATTATCTATATATATATTTTGTAAATCGTATACTAATTCCTATTATACACTGTTCCTTAATACCTATTATTGTGTTATTCAGTCTAATTATGTTTATATTACACTCTTGTGTCATGTTTAGTGTAAGTATTGTTGAAGTCATATCTGCTGTTACTCAATGTGTCGTGATCGATCACTCGATCGATCACTAGATGTGTCGTGATCGATCACTCGATCGATCACTAGATGTGTCGTGATCGATCACTCGATCGATCACTCGATGTGTCGTGATCGATCTCTGACGTCTCTCACACGCGCGTTGTGATTTCAGAGTCGAGCGAAGAAGCTGATGGCGACGGGAGAAGTAGCCACCGTCGTGTCGACGATGGAGAACGGATGGCAGGTGGCGCCCCCCACCGCGTCCGTACAGACCCCCGCCTCGGCCGCAGCGGCGGCGGCGGCGGACATGCCGCCGCGACTCAGCTGTGAGGTGGGTGACCGGCCGGCAGAGACGGGGGCGAGGGTGAGGGAGGAGGAGGAGGAGGAGGATGGATGCAGGGACGGCGGTGGCAGCGGAGGAGGCAGCACGGTCACTCAGCAGCTAGTGTTGGACATCGGCTCCAGCGCGAGCGATCGTCCGCCTACCCTCTCGCCAGCCATCGACCGCGGATACTCGCCCCGCGCGTGCGCCAGCCCCACCGGTAAGCGCCTTCTATGTTCGTGCGGCTCTCGCAGTTTGGCAGCGTGCCAACGTTGTAATCCTTGCTGTGAGGCTTGATTTAGGTAGCAGTCATGTTTACTAATCTTGCGCTCCGGGCACTGTGCGGTGTGCACGCGCGTGTACACTACAGGAGAGCGTGTACAGAGTAAGAAAGAAGATGAAGATGAAGTAGTATCATAAGACAGTAGTAATCGTGACAGATAACAGTAATAGTAGGTGTCTCCCCCTTTTAGCGCCCCCCCAACCCTGTGGCACCCCTTTCTGTGAACGGCACCCCCCTTTGGCGCCCCCCTGAACCCCCCGGCGCCCCCTTTTGGTGCCCCCTCGCGGACAGGGTATATAAGGAGGAGAAAAGTTTTTTTTCAGCTGTAAAAAGTTAGAAGAAGCCGTCTCCAGACCTCTTTTTCACACATGTCCAGTAGTAGTGACGGTGTCATTTTCAGTTGTTAACACGGTGTATGTAGCTTGGTGTACGTATGCGTACGCCGTTGCGCCTTTATGCGCCGTTGTGTTGTCATGCTAAGACTCGCATTCTCATACTTACAGCGCCGCACGGCGTGGCGGGCAGCGGTGGCGCCCTCTCCGTTACGCTGGAACATCAGCTGGATGACGTGTTGATGCAGGGAAACCTCCTAGAGGTGGCGCTAGATGAGCTAGAACAGCTGCGCTACGTCCTGCAGGCGTCCCGCCACGCAGCCGAGACGAGACATGAGGTGAGTAGGGGGCGCCGCGTGTGCAGAGGTAGGTGGCGCTAGATGAGCTAGAACAGCTGCGCTACGTCCTGCAGGCGTCCCGCCACGCAGCCGAGACGAGACATGAGGTGAGTAGGGGGCGCCGCGTGTGCAGAGGTAGGTGGCGCTAGATGAGCTAGAACAGCTGTGCTACGTCCTGCAGGCGTCCCGCCACGCAGCCGAGATGAGACACGGGGGGGGGGGGACGCCATGTTAATATCAAGAAATGGTTATACCTGATAAGCTAATAACCTAGAATTAATATTACTGATAAGGTTATAAACTCTTGTTAGTATCAATATATTATATAACAATAATAACATTTTGATAATATTTATTCTACTTTGAGCATTTCTAAACTTAAATATTAGCAAAACAAAAGATAATATAATGCAACATAACCATAATTATATTATTGCGCTTATATTTAAAGGACTCCATATGCTAAATACGAAAGGATTTCAAATGTTTATAACATTGTTTGGCATGCCGTTGTTCACGTGTGTGAGGTGTATGTGATGTTTGCAACACCGCTGATTTCTTCGTTTGTTTCTCAGCCCGTCAAGGTGCCACCAGACCTACCATCGCCAACGATTACTGCCGAACCAAGCAAACCAAAGAAGAAGCAAGTCAAACGGACATCCGATGAAGACACCGCCATTGGCAACAAGCGAACATCCGACGATGACACTGGCACTGCCAACAGACGAACATCTGACAACAACGCCTGCATCGGCAACAAGCGAACATCCGACGATGATGGCGGCGGCAGCAAGCGGAAGCTGAAGAAGAGCGCCGTCGATGCTGCGAGTCGGCCAGACGCGGGCGACGAGATACAGATCCACGTGAACGCGGCTGAGACGCTCGCTGAGGTCCGTCTGAAGAAGTCGAAAAAGCACAAGCTAAAGCCGGGGGTCACAGAGATCCAAGGTCATGTCGAGGTCAAAGGTCATGACGACGATGATGGGCCGAAGAGGCAGAGGCTGACGGTGGTGGCGGGAGAAGAGGAAGCCGCATTGGACAACAGGAAACCTTGTTCGCCAACCGACAGTAAGAAGAAGAAGAAGAAGAAGAAGGTGGTGGAGGGGGGAGGCGGCGGCGGCGGCGGCGGCGGCGGTGCGTCCGCGGAGGCCGGCCACGCTAAGAAGAAGAAGAAGAAAAGGTGTGCTTCCCTGAGTGAGGACCTGAGACCCACGCCCCCGCCGCCGCCGCCCGCGTGTAACGGTCACGCGAAGCTGTCACAGAAGACGTCACAGAAGACAGGAAGCAGGAAGGATGCGACGAAACCTCCGTCACCATCACAGACATCCACCGGCAAGCTGAAACACAAGTCCGCCATGCAGGCCGCAGCGCCACCTGCAGGGGGCAGGACCGTCGCGGCATCCCTTAGTCGATTGAAGACGACGATAACGAAGAAGAAGAAGAAGAAGAAGAAGAAGACGAGCATGAAGACAAACGTGGAGAACGGTCTGGACGGTAAGGATCCTGTGGCGTTGGAGCGGGAAGAAGATGTAGAGAAGGAAGTAAGTGAGCTGCGCAGTGGCAAAGGACCGAGGTTGCTGTCAGTTTCATCCGACACCAGTAGGGAAGATGACTCACTGAAAATCGAGGAGAGTAAGGGTGAGTAACATGTAGTGTATGGTGTATAACCTGTAACATGTAACATGTAGTGTATGGTGTATAACCTATATAACATGTAGCATGTAGTGTATGGTGTATTATGTGTAACATGTAACGTATTGAGTATAAACCGGTAGTATATCCCCCCCATCCCACCTCCGTACATGGTGCTTCTCACTTCTCACTCAGGCAACAAGAGAACAGTGAACGGCCGGCAAGACGACAACGGCACGGCAAGGAGTGGCAGTAAGAAGGAGCAAAAGTCTGAACGCAAGCACACGTCGGTAGCGGAGCACGCATCGCTGCCGCACGACACGGAGCAAGCCCGGGATGAGGAGGAGGAGGAGGAGGATGATGAGGATCCATGCTCTGCAGACACCTGTCTCATTAATGGTACGTCCCATCTCTGCCTCACACGCACGCGCGTCGGTGTATGCTGCTGCCGCGCTATTTTCGAGAAACGTCGAGATATAAATCGCTAATTTGTCGTGTGTGCAAAGATTGCGGGAGAAGTTACGTATATGGTCACTCGCTCGCGCATGCACGCACCCCGTCCCACACAAACACGCTTGCACGTAACCCACGTGTGTCAGTGCTGTCTCTCACCAACAGTGACTCTTGCAGGCAACCACCACCACCACCAGCCGCAGCAGAAGAATGGTAGCAGCAGCAGCAGCGGAGGAGGAGAGGAGGAGGTGCACTGGGTGCAGTGTGACGGCGGCTGTGACCTGTGGTTCCACCTCGGCTGCGTCGGCCTTGGCGCCACCGACCTACAGGAGAACGAAGACTACGTCTGCTCGAGATGCTCCGGTGGCAGCCCCAACCACGCGCCCAAGATGGCGGCGTGCGTGGACGACGCGCAAGTGAGCGGCAGCGCTACACCGGATACCGCGGAGGAGAAGGAAGTGGGGACGGAGGAGGAGAAGGTGGTGGGAGAAGGCGAAGAGGAGGAGGAGGAGGAGGAGGGAGAGGCGGTTGCCACGGCGACGAACGCGAGTGTGAAGTATGCTAGCGTCGACTCGCTGGTGCGCACGATAGAGGCGGTTGCAACAGGCGACGACAAACCTTTGCTGCAGCCGGCGCCCTCTGGTGAGATGGACGACGCGTCAGTCGCTGAGACTCTCATCGCTCTCGCTAGCCATAGCCCCCAGAGGGCGCCGCCATCTCAGGAACCTCTCGACCTGTCCGTGAGCCGCCCGCCGGCGCCCTCTAGGCCCCCACTCGACACAGAGTCTGCATCCGAGACGGCAGCGACAACGACCAAGTCCGCTGTTACGTCTCCGCGTGGCGCCCCCCTGCGGGGAGATTCTGCATCGCCGCGCTCCGAGGGAGAGAGTCGCGAGGTGAGCGTTGTCGGGAATGCCCACACGAGGGAGCCAGCAGAGCAGCAGCGGCGGCGCCCCGCGGTGGAGTTCTTCACGAGCGACCAGCATCGCGCCATCATTGGCAGCATCATCGGCAGCGCGCTGAAGCCGGCGGGAGCGAGAGGCTGCGAGCTCGCCGGGGATGCGGGGAAGCCCGCAGAATTGAAGCCCAGCGTTGCCGCGGGCGACGTGTCGTCGTCGTCGTCGTCGTCGCCGCGCACGGGACGCGGCGATCGTTACCCCGTTATCGGCAGCTTCCTGAAGCAGACCGCCGAGAAATACCGACCCACGTCTGTGAAGCCGTCGCCCGCGGCGGCGCCACCGTCTGCCTCGCCAGCGCCACCTAGCAGCCGCCCTGCAGCCGCGCAGCAGAAACCCTCGCCGCCCCCGCAGCTCACGGTGGCGCCCTCACCAGCCGCTGCGCTGGTCGGGCCACCCGTCGGTGGACTGCTGTCGCTAGGCAACGCGGTTGCTGCGGCGTCGCCGGCAAAGCCTCCAGCTGCATCGCCGTACAAGCCCGGCGTGGAGCTGGCAGCGAGCGAAGGGAAGCTGGCAGCGAGCGAAGGGAAGCTGGCAGCGATGACGACGGCGGCGACGGCAGTGGAGTTGTCCCTCGGCTCGAGCGCCAGCATGAAACGCAACCTGTTCGAGGAGATGGACATAAACTAAAGGTCGCGCGTGAAGGTCGCGCGTGAAGGTCGCGCGTGAAGGTCGCGCGTGAAGGTCGCGCGTGAAGGTCGCGCGTGAAGGTCGCGCGTGAAGGTCGCGCGTGAAGGCGCGGCGGACAGGTCGGCGTGAAGGTCGCGGAGCAGCATAGCGGCAACCGAAGGGTGGGAATGGGAATCGGAGTCGGCAATGGTGGACGATGCTGCAGAACGGGTGAATCGCCGGCTCAGGGCGGTGGGGGAGGGCAGTGTATGTTTGGCTGCCGCCCCCCCGCCCCGCGCGCGCACGCGTCGTTGTGTACATGATGTGTCTATTACTAATTTATCGCGCGCGCGTAGCATTTTGTCTGAATCATGGATGAGTCTTTTTTTTCTTTCTGTGGGCGTTTCGGGGGGAGGGGAAGTTAGTGGGTAATGTGTTTACGTGTAGTGTGGGGGAGAGGAGGGGAGAGTGTGTGGTGATTCTCACCACTGTGTGGGTGACTGTATAATTATCACATATAATCAGGGCGTCTCGGCAACGAGCCGTTGTACTTCTATGTTCCGATCATTTAGCCACTTAGCATGGTGTGTAAATCACCACCAATGCATGTCATGTAGAGACGTTTAATGTTTATCTGATATATGTATATAAATATATGTATGTATATATAATAATATATATATATATAGTATATATATATACATATATGTAATATACATTTATATTGTATCAGGAGTTTATAACGTGAACAGCGTGAGACGTTATGTACCTAAGGCGTAGCCAGACACGACCGCAGACACCATCATGTAAGCCGAGAGAGATGAGAGAGAGAAGAGAGAGAGAGATAGAGAGATACGAGAGAGGGAGAGAGAGAGAGGGGAGAGAGATGAGAGAGAGAGAGAGAGAGAGAGGAGAGCGAGAGAGAAGAGAGAGAGAAGCGAGAGAGAGAGAGAGAGAGAGAGAGAGAGAGAGAGAGAGAGAGAGAGAGAGAGAGAGAGAGAGAGAGAGAGAGAGAGAGGTGGATGGAACCTCAGAGACTCTAGTAACATAGTCGAGCCGCACGCGGTGCTTGCGTCGCGGAGACGGACGAGGAGGAGTCTTTATTTTGTGTTAATCGTGTGTTTCGTCGTGTGAACGCGAGGCTATATGTCCGCGTCACTAACAATGTAGTCGTGGGTGGGCACGTGGCAGGGGTGCGGCGCGAGAGAGGGAGCACACGGAGGGAGGGAGGAGGGAGGGCGCGCATGGAGGGATGGAGCACGCGGAGGGAGGGTGCGTGCAGAGGAAGGGAGCGCGCGGAGGGAGGGCGGGCGTGCACGGAGGGAGGGAGGAGGGAGGGATGGAGCGCACGAAGGGAGCGCGCGGAGGAAGGGAGTGCGCAGAGAGAGGGAGGAGGGAACCCTTCCTAGCGTCCACAGTGACGGGAGATCGCCGCATGGAATTAATAATCTCACGCAGCGAATCAGCGAGGTTGTCTGCAGGCGATCATGATTCGCAAGGAGGATGCGCTAACCCACGAGTGCAACACGGCGACTATTTTGCGATGTTTTCGCTCGTGCACTCGCGTGTTATCGTTCGTGTTGCGTGATATAGCGTTTGTTGAACCTTGCCGTGCGTAGATTGACGCACGTTGTCATAGTCATGTCGTGTTTGTCCCTGCGGCGGATGCTGCAGTGGTGTTTTTCTACAGCTGCAGCAACCTGCGCGGGTGATCAGATGATGACGATGAAGCCAAAAAAATCGAGTACTGTGAAGTAATTATGTGTGTTTGCACGCACGGTCGCGGCGGCGCGGGGCGAGGCGTGTGAGCGGGAGGGTGCGAGATATTTTGTCGCAACATGTCGGCGGGCAGGGGGCGACACCGTACCGGTCTTGCAAACACTTGCGAGTGGGATCTGTACGTTATAATAGAGACAGATGGCGCCAGCGTCAGCTCAAGTTACGCGGCCGCTCCCCGGATGCAGAATTCACGCGTCCGGGGGAACAATGCACATGATGTCATTAGTAGTTTGGGATTTCTCTTGCTGTTTTGCATATTTCCTTTGCTGTAGCCGTTTAGTGTTGCCTGTTTCTAGAAAGCCAGACCTGTGAGAGGGTATAAACTTGAGGGTATGGTGGGAAAGTGAGTTCTTAAGCAGGTGTTTATCGAATTATTATATACGGGCCTTGTTTTGTCAGGCTCAAGGTGTGCAGTCTGGTTTATATAGTGTGTGAGTCGTGTGATCGCATGAGTGTGCGAAACCAGGTTGTTGTGTCGTTTCAAGGTTTTGCACAGGGCGTGTAGTACGAAGCAGTGTCATAGCACACGCACGCTGGCCCACAGCCAGCCAGTAGTTGATGTGGGTGTGTGCAGTCTACCAGCATGTTACAGTTGCTGTTACTGTGGATGTGTGCAGTCTACCAGCATGTTACAGTTGCTGTTACTGTGGATGTGTGCAGTCTACCAGCATGTTACAGTTGCTGTTACTGTGGGTGTGTGCAGTCTACCGGCCAGCATGTTACAGTTGCTGTTACTGTGGATGTATGCAGTCTACCAGCATGTTACAGTTGCTGTTACTGTGGATGTGTGCAGTATGTACCAGCATGTTACAGTTGCTGTTACTGTGGATATGTGCAGTCTACCGGCCAGCATGTTACAGTTGCTGTTACTGTGGATATGTGCAGTCTACCGGCCAACATGTTACAGTTGCTGTTACTGTGGATATGTGCTAGTGTGTGAGTCAGCCACGGTAGTTGGTGAGAGTATGTGCAGGTTAGCATCGCGCTGTGGCAGCTGCTGGGAAGGCGTGCCAATTCTCTGCAGTGGCTGGTTAGTGCCTATGCAATGTAGCATCCAGCTACGCTCATAGGGTCTATGTCCCCGAGGTTACTGCCGGAACGTACCCTGGTAACTATTTGATGTGGTTAGGGTTAGAGAGTAGGCGTAGGCGACTCCCTAGACTCGTTAGTGGAGTAGGCGAGGTACGGTCTGGCATATTAGATAGTACCAGGGTACGTTCCGGCAGTACCATGGGGGACATAGACCCTCTCAGCTCCAGCTACAGTGGCTGGTGAGTGTGTACACAGTCTCCATGGTCAAACTACAGTGACTGGTAAGTGTATATATTGTCTCTACCATCAAACTACTTCTGGTTGGCATAGCTGCACAGGCTATATACACTGTTTGTGTTTTTGTGTACACATTTTCATGTATATTATAAGCCGTGCATTTATAGTAGCATAGTCGTCCGTTGATTCGCTGCTGTCTGAGGAAAGGTAGATTCTCCTGGGTGGAGTATATACCCTACAGCACCCACGTTTTAGTGGTAATATGATGATGTTTGTATGTGTGTTATAACAAGCGTGACTGTGTTGTAGGGTAATAATACTGCCCCGCTTCTCATTATAAATAATCATGGCCGTTCACTGCCACACTAGCGACGATGCATCGCTAAGGCAGAATCACTCGAAATCCAGCAACACCCTTAATTTGAGGGATGCATTTCGAATGGAAAAATCCTTAACTGCTAGAGATCGAAGATACGGTGCATGGCCGTTCTGAGAGAGAGAGAGATAGGGGGGGACCGTGCCATCTTCACAATTGTCTCCCTGCGCCTTCACTTGTCCTGCGTGACATTATTGTCCGAGTTATCCTGAGGAGGTGACCATGCAGCCAAGATGGCCGCCGCCGTCGGAGCCTGTGATTGGCCGAGGCTCAGTGTACAGCTACAATGCTGCGACATGCCCATCATGATTATAATCAAGTATTGTGACCATGTACCTAATATACGACTTGTATTCATATATAATATACATCATTCATATATGAATACATTCATATATTCTGTGTCAGAATAAAACCTATTTAATCAAAACACAAAGATAACAAAAAACTGTTTCTCGTTCTGGTTCTACTATATAAAGATATATTTAGTTATAACAAATACATGAAAAATGGATGGATTTAAGTTGGATGGATTCAAATGGAGTTATAGCTAAACGAGCACAGTAGATATGTGTTCTAATCACGCATTTACTCACAAGTTTAGTGATGATCACACTCACTAAAACTGCCTGATTTGCCCTCTCACTAATTTACAACGCGTACTAAATAGAAACGTACAAATACCAGGTCCAATGGGACATAATGCAACCTATCTAAAATAAATATGGACATTTCTCAATGAACGTATACATTTAACATTTTGCACAGACCCCTTTTTGATTTCGATTGATGGCTCAACAATGCCTACTGAACAATCAGTATATGCTGAGGAGCCAATCAAAAATTTGTTTTAATTTAACTAACAAATCATTCACTCAAAACATCCGCTCTGGGTTGTTTGTTATACATGCGTACAAACTTGATAGAGAGTTACCGAGGTCATACATTAGGTGACAGTAGTGTCACCCTACTCACTGCCTCGTACGCTTGACACGATATCAAACACTGAACTTCTAATGTTATCATCTAATTGCAGTCAGTTGGCCCCGGTCACGTAGGTACAGACGAGAAGGACACATGGGTGAGCGCATCATTCCATGTCGTGGACGTATGTTATAGCTGAGCGCATCATTCCATGTCGTGGACGTATGTTATAGTTGAGCGCATCATTCCGTGTCGTGGACGTATGTTATAGCTGAGCGCATCATTCCATGTCGTGGACGTATGTTATAGTTGAGCGCATCATTCCGTGTCGTGGACGTATGTTATAGCTGAGCGCATCATTCCGTGTCGTGGACGTATGTTATAGCTGAGCGCATCATTCCATGTCGTGGACGTATGTTACAGTTGAGGCGCATCATTTCCGCTGTCGTGACCGTTCACTGTTACAGTTCTAAGCCGCATCATGCGTGTCATGGACGTATGTTAGCAGTTGAGCCGCATCATTCGTGTCGTGGACGTATGTAATATAGCTGCAGACGCATCTTCCGTGTCGTGGGACGTATTGTTATAGTGCTGAGCCGCATCATTCCGTCGTCATGGAACGTATGTAATAATTGAGCGCTAATCATTCCATGTCGTGGAACGTTATGTTATA